CGTTGGAAAAGGGCGTTTGTGGTCCTGCCATGCTGTTGCGTGACTCAGCGGCTTGTGTCGCTTCTCTCCACGGTCCCCCAACGGTCCCCTGACTGTAGGCAGCTACGACCTGTGGATGTACCCCACGCGCGGGGACCTCTGTGTTGTTTCCCCTGTCAGCGGTTGTGAACCAGGCCCCCATTTGCTGCATTTGCACACGGGCTCTCGCGGAAATGGGAGTCTTTGGTTCATGCGGGCAAATACCTAAGTGTCGGACTTCTGGGCTGTTTGCGGTAACCCGGGTTCCGCTCTAGAAGAAATGGCCAGCGCCTCGCCCACGGGGGCCGCAGCCCGTGCCCTCTCGCCAGCGGTGAGCGTCTGTGGCTCTGGACCCTCGGGGGCGCTTGGTGTTCCCGGCGTTTGGGATTTTGCCTGTTGTGATAGGTGCTGGTGCATCTGGGCCTTAATTGGCGTTTCCCCAGTAGATGCTACTGAGCGTCTTTTCTGAGTGTGTGCAACATCTGTGTGTCTTACTCGTGTGACGCAGATGACTTCGGCGTCCGGGTGCTCTGCCCAGCTTGAACGTCGGGCTCTTTGTTTCCTTATTCTCGACTTCCTTGAAGGCACTTAGTATCCTGCGAACACGGGATTCTGGCACTTGAATATTCTGGACGCAAGTGCCCGCTCAGGTCATTTATGTGGTCTGTGAGTGTTTTCTCCCAATCCGTGCTTTGTCTTTTCAGCCTCACCTACAGAGCAGAGGTTTTCGTCTGATGTGGCGCCGTCTGTCGGTCTTTCTCTGTCTGTGTCACACTTCTGCTGTTGCCACGCCCAAGCCGCAGATTTTCTCGTAGAAGCTCCCCACTTTCACACTTCACGTGGAGCTCTGCCGTCCTTTTTGAGTAAATTTCGGGGTAAGTGTGAGATGTGTGTGGGCCCGTCCGTCTGCGTCTGGTCGCCCGTTGTTCGGGATCACCTTCCTCCGTTGACCCGTCTGTGCCCCTTTGTCAGAGGTCAGTTGGCTGTACTCGTGTGCCTTTGTTCCTGGGCTCCGTGCCCTGTGCCGCGCCGTCCGGGTCCCTCCTTCTGCCAGTGCCGCGCTGTCTTGATCGCCGTGCTTCGTAGTAACTCTTGACGTCGGGTAATACGGCTCCTCCGGTGTCGTTCTTTCTCCGGGTCACTCCTGCGGTTCTAGTTCCCTTGCTTCGCCGCATCTGTTTTAGAACCAGCTTGTCCGCACCAACAGCGGAGCTTTCTGGGTGCTGGGATGGAGACTGAGTCTGTAGGTCAGCCTGGGGAGAGCGGACGTCCTCGTGACGCTGAGTCCCCTGGCCCACAGACGTCATGTACCCCCCACTTATTTAGGTCTGCCTTTGTCAGTGCTTTTCTGTTTTCCACATACAGACTCTGCGGGTGTTTTGTAAGAGTTTTACTTACGTATTTTGGGGGTTGCTATTTATTGTAATTAAAAAATTCAGATTACAGTTCACTGCTGATACATATGAATGCAGTGAACTTTTAAGTATCGATCTTGTGTTCTGTGCCTGTGATCAACTCATTGATTAGGTCCAAGAGGGGGGTTTTTGATATTTTTTTGAGATCTTCTACTCAGACCCTCATATCATCTGTTAATAAAGACAGTTTGATTTCTTTCTTGCCAGTTCATGTGCCTTTTACCTCTCTTGCCGGCCTCACCGTGTGAGTCAGGACTTCCGTACAGTGCTCAAGAGGCTGGTGAGGTGTCCTCGCTTTGTCCCAGATCTCGGGAAAGGACTGAGGTCTGGTGTTGGCTGTCGGTTGTGCATAGCCGCCCTTGTGGGCTGATGGAAGTTCCCTTCTATTCCCAGGGTGCTGGAGGTTTTCACCCTGAGCAGCTGCTGAATGCTGTCACCTCTCTGTCCAGTGTCTGCGGGTCTTACGGTATTGCTTTCCTTTCTCATTGTGGTCGTTGGTAAATCACAGTGATTTGTGAGGATTGAACCAGCCTTGCATCCCTGGCCTGCGGTGGGTTTTGATTTGTCACCTGTGTTTCTTGATTCGTGAGTTTTGGTAGTTTGTATCTTTCAATTAATTTGTTTCATCTGAGCTGCTGAGAGATCTGTGGCATCCTTCTCGATCTTTTTAGTGTCTGTGGGACCAGAAGCAACGCTCCCTTCTCTGTTCTTGGTACTGCTCTCTCTTTTTCTTGATCAGTCTGTCTAGAGGTCTGTCGGTTATCCTTTGGAAGAACCAACTTTTGATTTTCTTGATTTTCCCCATTTTTTTTCTTGTTTTCAATTTCATTCATCTCCACTCCTAAGTTTTTAATTTTTTAAAGGTTTCTTTCCTCCTGCTTGTTTTGTGTATCATTGCTATTTTTTTCTGATTTCTTAAGTAGTTTAGACTTGAGCCCTGACTATCTTTCTAACGTGAGCACTTTACTGTAAAGTTCCCTTTAAGTGCTACTTAAGCAGCATCCTGCATTTTTTTTTTGGTATATTGTGTTTTCAGTTTTCATTCAGTTGAAAAATACCTTATAATTTTGCTTTTGCTTTATTTTTTAAGATTTTATTTATTTGAGAAAGAGCATAAACAGGGAGGAGGAACAGAGGAAGAAGCAGGCTCCCCGCTGAGCAGGGAGCCTGATGCGGGGCTCGATCCCAGGACCCTGAGATCATGACCTGAGCTGAAGGCAGATGTTTCACCGACTGAGCTGCCCAGGTGCCCCTAGTTGTTGTGTTTTATATTTTTATATATATATATATACATATATATATATGCGCGCGCGTGTGTGTGTATTTTTTCAATTCGTATTCATCACATTTAACATAAGTATTCATCACATATATATGGTTTATTTAGAAGAGTGGGTGTAATTTCCAAAGACTTGGGTATGTTTCCAGATAACGTCCTGTGGCTGACCGCTAGGTTAATTCTTTTTGTTCAGGACACACATTTTTTTTGATTCCAGTTCTTTTCTATATGTTGGTATTTGCTGTGCGGTCACAGCGTGGAGTGTCCTGGCGGACGTTCCGCATAGTGGTTGAAAATCATTATCTGTTTAGCTGTTGGGTAGGGTGTTCTGTGGATGTCACGGTGCCATATCTTGCCCTTTTATACCATATGACAGTCTCTAACTGTCAAATTAAGTCAGTTAACGTACGTATAGCGTATAGATGTGTATTAGCTGAGGTGATTCAATATACATAAGTTTTGGTGCTAGACTTGTGCATTTAATGTTCTCATGTCTATTTGTTGATTCCTTATCATTATGCAATGTCCTTTTTTTTTTTTTTTAAAGATTTTATTTATTTGTCAGAGAGAGAGGGAGAGAGAGCGAGCACAGCAGACAGAATGGCAGGCAGAGGCAGAGGGAGAAGCAGGCTCTCCGCCGAGCAAGGAGCCCGATGTGGGACTCGATCCCAGGACGCTGGGATCATGACCTGAGCCGAAGGCAGCCGCTTAACCGACTGAGCCACCCAGGCGTCCCTGCAATGTCCTTTTTTAACCCTCATATTGTTCCTTGTTTTTATCTCTTTTGTCTGATATTCATATAGCCATTAGCTTTCTTTTGATTAATGTTTGTATGATATGTGTTTTTCTGTGCTTTTGCTTTTAATCTACCTGTGTGTTTATATTTTGAATGGATTTCTTGTAAACACCACAAATTTGAGTCCTTTTTTTTTTTTAAATTGAGGGTGAGCAAGAGAGAGCATGAGCAAGGGCAGAGGGAGAGGGGGAAGCAGACTTCCCGCTGAGCAGGGAGCCCAACGTGGGGCTCAGTCCCAGAACCCTGGGATCATGACCTGAGCCGACAGCAGATGCTAAACTGACTGAGCCACCCAGGCACCTGAGTCCTGCTTTTTTATCCATTCTGACAATTTCTGTCTTTACTGGTGGGTTTAGAACATTCTCATTTAAAGCATCAGATTAAAATCTATCATATTGCTAGTTGTTTTCTATTTGTTTCTTCTGTTCTTTTTTTTTCTTTTCCTGTCTTCTCTTTGGTTAGTTCAGCATTTTCTATGATTCCCTTTTTGTATCTGTATTAATTATTTAGAGTCACTTAAATTTTTATTTGCTCCCCCATAGGACTTCCAGTAAACATCTTAAATTAATCTGAGCCTGCGACTTCCTGTGTGGCGTCAGGTCCTTCTAAGAGTGGCTTCCAACGTCTCCCTCTGGCCTTGGTGGTGTTTTCTCTTATTGGGCCCTCCGTATGCTTTAGGCGACTGTGATCGGGTTTGCTTTAGACGAGGGGTGGCACACGTTTCCGCCGGTCCACATCACACTGCGAGCCCAGACCAGTGTTTGTGGAACTAGAACCTGAGCTACAGCCATGCTCCCTTCTCTCCCTCCACCCCATCCGGCCCCGTGGTGCAGCTGCCCGGCCCTCAGGCGTGCAGCTGTGTCCACGGGGTGGGCGTCCCTCAGCGTGCGGCGCTGCCCGAGACGGCCTGTTGCCTTGCTCTTTCCCCTTGGTGGGTGTCGCCCTGCTCTTCACATTCGTGGAGGGGAACGTGTGCCCTCGCTCCCCGCCTGCGGCATCCCTGTGCGGACACGTCTGTGCACGCACCCAACCCTAGACCTAGCTGGCGCTCTTGCCGGGGCGGGGCTTAAAGGAAGCCCGCGGCCCGAATGCGGGCGATTGACTGATAGGCGAGCTGTAGCCGGTCCGGGAGGGCCACTGCGGACCTGGCCCATGGGCCGTGCAGACGTGTGTTGTCGTGAGAGATGCCGAGTGCCGTTCCCTTGTGGTCAAGTGAGGCACCTGCGTCTGTGTCACATACACACACATGACACACGTAATTGGACATGACCCGTGTCGGTTTGTGTATGTGAGCAACACAGCCTAACCTCCCCAGATTGGGCCTTCTAGTGTTTTCCCCAGGATTTTGGAACTTGGACCTCTTGTATCCCTGCTTTGATTCCAAACCGTGGCTCAGATACCCCCTCATCTCCTCACCCCGCCATGCCCCCTCCTGCAGGTGTCCACAGACAGCTGTGCTCCTGTTCACGGTCCTTCTGTCTGTTTCTTCCAGTCGTGGCGTTCCTGGTGGCTTTCCACCAGAACAAGCAGCTGATCGGAGACCGGGGCCTGCTGCCGTGCCGCACGTACCTGAAGAGCGTACAGCAGTATTTCCGGGGCCCGGTCGGCTGGGACACCGTGAGCTACGCGCCCACCGTGCTCTGGCTGCTGGACTGGTCACACATGGACTCCAACCTGGACGCCCTGGCGCTGCTCGGGCTGGGCGTCTCGTCTTTCATCCTGCTCACCGGCTGTGCCAACATGGTGCTCATGGCCACTCTCTGGGTTCTCTACATGTCCCTGGTCAGCGTGGGACAGATCTGGTAAGCAGGAGGACGTGGGGTGCTGGGATCCAGGCAGGCTGGGGCTCCGTGGCCTGGCAGCCTCCTGGCAGCTGGGGAGACGGAGCAAGCTCGCTGCTTACGCTAGTCCGAGGGCTACCGCCATGTCGCTCGGGCGGTAGGAGAGTCTGCTAGTTGCCAGTCGACCAGAATCCAAGGGACTTTGTTCCTTGGGAAGAACCACGATTCTCTTCAGTGTGGCGTGGCCACCCCTGAGAGTCTGCAGTCAGCCTCCTGGGGCCGGAAACTATGAGGTGGACGTAGGGTCCCGCCATGGGCTTCCAGGAGTGCTCTGGGGGCGGGGGCCGGCTTTGCAGGCCTGTTTCTTCTGCTCGTCCCTGCTCTGGCTCCTTCCTCGCTCAGGAGGAACCGCTACCAGCAATGCCAGGGGTCACAATCAGGTTGGGCCCTCTTGGGGCTCCACAGCCAGGGAGGCTGGAGGAGTCCTACGGTGAGCCAGGAAAGTGTGCCAGGGCGGCCCACCCTCCAGGGGCCCCGACGGAAGCCCAGCAGCCGCGGGGTGCCACGGTGTGCCTGAGCCGAGGGCTGGCGCTCCTTCCTGTTGTGGGCTCCAGAGGAAGCACAGGGGACTCTAAGAAAAGGTACGGTTTGGGGAGAAGCTCTGGGATGGGGGTTGGTGTCTGTGCAGATGTGGAGGAAGCAGATGTGGGCATCTGCAGCTGTGCATGTGCGGAGGAGGTGGGCACTGAGCTCGGGGTCATCTGTTTTCCGGAGGACAGATGTAAGTCCGGTGTCCCGACGGTTCCTCTAGCGCTGGCCCGGCCTGGGGAGGCTTGTGTAGTCTTCCCGGAATGTGGGCTCTGACCCAGACTATCTCCACCTGGGCCTGCGGAGCTGCCCTTCGGTCCCGTCAAAACAGACTGGTCCGTCAGGGCTGCGGCCTGGCAGCTGGGCGCTGAAGCTCCCCCGTGTGCAGCTGCGCCCTGGTCCCCGCGGGCAGGTGTGCACCACTCGGAGAGGAGTCGGGGCTGGGCTCTGGCCTCTTCCTGGCCGTGGGAAGTGCCGGTTTGCACCACACTGGGGAGGCCAGGTGTGGAGGACACTCCCGTGCAGGAGGCCCGTCGTGCAGATCCGGTGTGTGGCCAGGAAGGCTGGGTGTCCTGGGCACCCTGGGAGCCCTCTGCTCTGCCCACACCTGGGGCCCTCCTGTCAGTATGTTACTGTTGACCATGGCGGTGCAAATGGGCTGGGGCACCTTGGGTGGGGTCTGGGTGACAGTCCCATGTGCCTCCTGCTCATCAAGCAGCTGTGAGGTGTGACGCCCCCTGGACCCCCACCTGCTCCTTCCCTCTTGGAATTCCTGGAGGTCAGACACCCAAGGTGCTGTCCGTTCTGCCCCTAGGCTCTTGGTCACACACAGAGACTCTGGCTGGGTATTTCTGTGGTGCTAAAGAGGTTGCTGGTTTTTGAGACACGTGCTTTTAGTCCGCGCCGGACCAGGGAGAGCTCTGGGCACACACGGTGAGCGCACCCGACTCTGTGCACGGCCAGGGTGGCATGCTTCCTGCATGGTGAGTGGCTTGGGTCACTCTTTACTGTGTCTAGTAGCCAGAGAGATCATTTGGACTTTAAGTTTACTGTAAGAAGTATTTCCTAGTCATGAGTAGGGTATGGTCAGGAAAGACCAACCCCATGTTTAAATTTCTGGAAACCAGTTTGGGTACGCATGGCCAAGATAGTCTTGTATTGTTTTCACTGGAAAAGATACTCCACTCCCCTTCCCTTGGATACGTAAAAAGGAAAAATGTGATTCAAATTAGGTTAAGCTCACTAAAGCGAAACAGAATAAAGGTACATCTTCTCAGAAATGATTGGAAAATGAGGAAGAAAACAAAATCTGTCATGGAGACCAGTGGTATCTTCACCGCGCCCATGCTGCGGACGTGCTCATTCCCTGCCCAGCTGCTCACCGCTGGTTTCACGCTGCGGTGGGGCTGCGGGGTCAGGCTCCGAGCCCTCTGCCTCCACGGTCTGTCCAGCCCTGCCCTTGACGTGGGTTTCCCGGACAGACGGCAGCTTCAGGGTCAGAGTGACACTGAACACTTACTAAGTGTTCAACAGCAGGCTTTCTTTTTCCTGGTACCCCAAAGTGAGAGGCACAGACTGTTCCTCACCTGTCCCATTTATTTAAAGTTGAAAAAAAAGAATGGGGTGAGATGTCAGTTAATGGGCACTGTTGACAGACGTCTTTCAGGTGTTGTCCAGCTGCCGGGCAGGGGCACAGGGCGCTTCTCTGAGGGCACTGCCACCTTGGTCTGGGGTCCTGCGGGGACGACCCTGCGTCCGCCCGCCGTCGCTGCGTGTGTGCGGTGGCCGTTGCTTCGCTAGGCCCTCCGCGTCTCCTGTCCCTCTGGGGGCGTCTGCTGAGCAGCTTCCCGCCTCAGACTGGTGCCCCTGCCCAGGACCCGGCATCTCACACACGTGTTCCAGGGCAGTGGGAAGCCCGCGCGGCTGCCCCGGGAGGCAGGTGAACCTCGCGCTCGGGGGCACCGTGAGTGTCCGAGGCAGATGACGTGGGGTACAGGCAGGTGGCCTTACACAGCACCCTGCCGCTTCCAGAACCACGACCGCCCTTCGCCCACTCTCCTGACTCGTTCCTGACGCTGCATGCTGGGTGGGAACTCACAGAGCCACTTCGTGACTGCAGTGACCAGGGATCTCATCGTGGGGAGAGCGGCTCCCGTCCAGGCGGTGAGCGCTCTGCAGAGTGACGGCCTATGGTGGCCCTTGGAATCGGGGGCGTGGGGCGCTGATGCTCTGAAGTCCTTGCTGGGGCTGCAGGAGGCACAGCCGGAGCGAGCCTGTGGACACGGGGGCCAGCATGAGGGACTGAGGCCGGGGGCGGGCTGGGGACCGTGCCCCGGGTAGCTGTACCCCGGCGGGCCCTGTCCCAGAGCTGCAGGGCTGGCAGCAGTGTGGGTGGCCTGTGGTTAGGCATGGGGCGACTGTGGACCGTGAGGGAGCGCTGCCAGGCTGGACGCTCAGCCCCCCACGAGGCCACCCCCTCTGTCCCATGAGCCCCCGTGCCTGCGGTTCCACAGTCATCGGTGGGAACCAGGGGAGCCTGGGACGCCGACTCTCCCCACTTCCCCCATGTTTCCCCGGACTCCACATCCTCCTGATTTTACCCACCAAGTGTTTCCAGAACCTTCCTCTGCTGTCAGCACCCGGTGTGGCCCCACGTTCATGACAGCTTTCAGCTCGCTTCCCACACGGCGTTGTTTTGTCACAGGCACGGGCCAGCTTCATTCTGGGTTCCTGTCGTTCCAGTTACGGGCAGTGAAGACACACTTTCCGCATGTCGGGCAGTTCTAAGGTGACGAATCACGATTTCTCCATGGACTCCGGCCGCCGCCCTCCCCGCCAGCCTTGTGCTGAGGACCAGGGCAGACACGATGTTGGTTTCTTGGGCTCTGGCGGCTGGGACTTGTGGCCCCTGTCAGGGAATGGGAGCCCCACACCCCAGGGGAGGGGCCCGTCTGCTGCAGGAAGTAGCTGGGGCAAGGGCGCGCGTCCCGGGACCGCCGGGGGCTGTGCTGTGCGCAGGAGGGTGAGGGAGGAGCGGGGTCCTTTCCCCTGTGGTGTCGCCGTAGACTTGGGCTTTCCTCTGCCCTCGGCCGAGTAGAGGGAGGGACGGACGCAAGAGATGCCACGCGGGCCTTGCTCATGCAAGAGAGGTGAGCGGGCAGGAAGTACGGACGGGGCTTGGCACCGGGCGCCCCACGGCCTGCGGGGCTTCTTCCTGGAGGCCGCTGCGAGCCAGCAGTCGGGGCGCCGGTGCAGGGCGCGCCCGCGCGGGGGTGCTGAGTGGCTTTCACCCGACTGCTTTCGCAATCGCCCCTTCCCATCATCAGCTCTCGAGTGTGGCTGGAACGGGTTTTCATTGCCTGGTCTACAGGGCAGGAGCATCACAAGGGTGTCCATCCCCAAGGCCGTGCGGTTGGGGCAGAGAGATGACCGCCAGTGATTCCTCTTGCTTATTAGCAAAGGAAGCCTTGTTAGAAGGGGTGCGGCACCGTCTGCCGCGTGCACACGGGGCGGAGGCGACCTGGGACTGGGTTGAGCAAGAAGGGGCCCGGGGCACACGGCTGGCAGGCGGCCCCCCGTGGCTGAGCCGAGGCATCCTCGTCCTCGGACACAGTGGGCCGCGTGCACACGTCTGCGCGCACTGTGGACGGATGCTGTTCTTGGTGAGGACTTGACTTTGTCTGCCTTGCACGTTGCCCAGAGCCCTAGAGGTTTCGTTCTGCAGAAGGAAGCTTGGGCCTGGCCTGCGCGGGCGCCACACGCAGGTCGGGTGGCTGGTGGGGACCCAGTGGGCCGGAGCGCTTCTCCTCCCAGGCAGAGATTCTGTTGCTGCCTAGCTACTTCCGCCTCCTTTTAATTGAATAAACCCCCTTTTTGAAGTAGTTGTGGGCTTACAGGTTCATCGCAGAGACAGTACAGAGAACTCCTGTGTACCCCCACCCCGCTTCTTGTATTGTCTGCCTACTCGTCCGATTTAAAGAGCTAACACTGACCTCTTCCGTCCCTGGCTCCCCTCTGGGACGTTCGGGCGTCACGTCCCCTCAGGCTCCTCTGGGCTGGGACAGCATCTCTGACTCTTTGGCTTTGAGGAGGACCGGTCAGGGGTGCTGTGGGACGTCCCTGCACGGGGACTTGGTTGATGCTCTTCTCATGACTGGACTGGGCCGTGGGTTTGGGGAGAAGGCCACGGAGCCCACGCGGCCTCCTTGTCACAGCGTGGCTTGTCCGGGTGGGTGACACCGACGTGACTCGCTGCGCCGCTGCTGCCCCTCCACTCCCGGCCGAGGTCCCATCTGCCCTGTGTCAGGGCAGGGCGCTGGGGACTGGGACGCTTCTGCAGGGGAGTCGGGTCTCCTGACCCTGTGTCAGTCACAGCAAGTCATTGTGAGGCTTCGGGCGTCTGTCCTCTTGCTCTAGGGCCTTAGCTGTCTTGGGGACCGGTGACATTGGAAGAGAGAATGAAAGTTCAGTAGCCATGACTGTAGGAAATTTATGTGAGTTTGCTGAAGAGTCTCGCCGCACCAGTTCTGTCCTCCGACGGGGGAACGTGGAAGAACACCGGAGGCCCTAGAACTGTGACTTTGCTCCGGCCGCCCCACTTAGCATCAGTTTTCCAGAACGCTGGTTTCTGATCCTTTTATCTGTGCTTTACTTTGGCAGTGCTCCTAAAGGGCTCCTTTGTTGCTAGCGAGGGTGGCTGTGCGACTGCCTTTTCTCTTCCCCACCTTCCTGGCCCCCCAAAAGAAGAAAGGATTATCTCCAGAAACTTGGACGGAGGTCGGGGAGGCTCAGGGGGTCCCTTCCTGTGGAGGAAGCCGCCTTGGCCACGTCCCTCTGAGAGAGCGGACAGAGCTTGCACTTCAAAGAGCGCCGAGAGCAGATGCCAGAGGGCCGCGGGGGGGCGCGGGGGTCAGGGTCAGTGCCACGGGGTGCGCTGCCAGGCTGCTCCGTTCTGACTGTCAACAGTGAAAACCTCGTTTTGTCTTAAACACACTAGCGCTCCCTGAGGCCCCGCGCCACTGCCCAGCCCCGGCCCGCTGCCCGCAGCTCTGCCGTGGACCTTGCCCAGAGCCCAGATGTTGTGTCCACTGCGTATGGACTGAAGACGGAGTTGATGCATAGACGTGAACTCCTGCTTCAGTTCCACGAGGTTCGGGGAGCAGAGTGGGGCCGTTTCCGCTCTGTGGGAGCAGTGGCCTCGCGCACCCAGTGCCTGCGTGCTTCCGAGGACCGTGTGTTCGCATCGCAGTCCACTCTGGGACAGCCCTTCCTCAGCCCCGGGCATGGAGACCAGACACCTTTCAGTTAGGGTCCCCTTTGCAATCATCTGTGCTCGGGGTATTGGGCAACCTTGAAACTTTCAAGTTCTAGGGTAGGACATTTTCCTGATGTTTGATTACTTACGGAAATTGTTTACTGCCAGATTTCCACTGTTACGTTTGCTTTTTCCTAAAAGACTCCTTGATTGGCCTGGGTGGGCATGGCCTTAGACCCCTAGGTGGGATGGGGGCCTGGGCAGCGGGTGGGCCCCGCACAGAACACCTGAGGCCAGGTCTCCCCTCCCCCACCTCCCACCACATTTAACATCCATGGGGTGTGTGACCTGACCCACTAAGTCCTGGGGTCACTGAGTTGGGCTTTACCCAGTTGGGTAGCATGATACCAAATTTTTTGACAAAGCAAGGCAAAAAAAAATTTTTGAGATTTTATTTATTTGAGAGAGAGGCAGAAAGCCAGCACGATTGGGGTGGGGGGCAGAGGGAGAGGGAAGCAGGCTTCTCACTGAGCAGGGAGCCCGACGCAAGACTTGATCCCAGGACCCTGGGATTGTGACCTGAGCTGAAGGCAGATGCATAACCGACTGAGCCACCCAGGATCCCAGCAAGGCAGAATTTTAATACCTTTTTCTCCTTTTGTTTTTTAGGTATTCATTTGGTAAGTGAAGTCAGAAAGTCCTCCGTGGGAGTTTAGCGTTGGTGGGGTATGTATTCCCGTGCTCTTCCCACTTGTCTCCTTGCCTGAGCCGCTGTCGTCGGCTTGGCAGGTGTCTGCGTTGTCTGAGGTCTGCCGTCTAGTCTGGAATCGTGGCCCACACTGGCTTCCGTGCCCACAGTGGTGGACCAGGGCAAGCAAGGAGGCAGGCGATGTTCTGGCGTCTTGGTGTCGATGGCGGTCTCTGCACAGCTGGGATGAGCCGTCCCACGGCAGTGACCACGCGGTGCTGTCGCGGGTCAGTTCCGTTCCCTGGGCGGAGGCCGTGCCATCCTGCAGGCCAGCCCCTCCCCACTCTAGGCCGTGCCAAGTTCCCAGAGGACACACGCTTGTGGAGGGGTCGACTCGGGGCTAGCGCTGGTGGGCACCCCAGAGGCCCAAGTGCCTGTTCACTTTGCTGAGGGGAGGACTTCCGGATCCCGCAGCCCGTGCTCTGTGGGGAGTGCTGCGCCCGGTGCGAGCCTGCGCAGTTGGGTTTGTTCAGAAAGGAGGGGCAGTGGGCACGAGGTTGCTGGTGGGGGTGAGCAGAGGATAGCCCCCTGTTTCCCTCTGGGCCGAGCCACATCACGCGCCGGTATCCCAGAGACGGCTGCTCGCTCCAGCGGTCGTGACAGCCCACACACCCCACCACACAGCACCCCCGGCGCCCAGGCAGAATCCCCGACCACACGAGGAATCCCAGGGTCTAGTGCCCCTGTTGTGACTGGGCTGAGGCCCTAATGCACGAAAACAAGAGCTCTCAGGAGAGGAACTGATTAGATGAGAAAAGAACCAGGTGGAAAGTACGGTATTTGAAATGAAAGACTCCCTTGATGGGCTGGCTGGCAGGGTGTGGGCGACAGCAGGGGATGGAGGGCTCCCAGAGGTCACCAGGCCCAGCAGAGCTCAGGTGCCATGGGGAGAGCTCAGAGGTTGGTGGCATGTGTATGGAGTCCTGGGGGGTGGGGCTCGGTGGCCGAAGTTTCCAGATGTGGAACAACACACAGATGCCCTGCCCAGAGAACCCCGTGAATCCCGCACAGCATGAATGGGAGGAGGCTCTGCCTCCAGGTCATCCACACGCTGCTGAAAACCAGGGAAAGGGAGCGTGTTGAAAGTGGTAGGAGAAAGGGGACACGGCCTTGAGAGCTCAGGAGCAATGGGCCCTGCACCTTGGTGCTGACGTGGGAACCGGGACCCTGTCTGGGGATGGAGCCTTCAGACTGGGGGAGTGAGAGAACTCAGGGTCCAGGGGCAGACTTGGGGTGCCAGTGTGGGGTTCCAGGTCACGCAGGAGGGACAGGAGGGATGGAAGGGTAAGCTGGGCGTCCGGGAGGAGTGCCAAGCACGGAGAGCGGGAATCTGCCAGGCAGCGTGAACGCCTCCGCTCCCCTCTCTTTACACACACCTGATCATTTAAAGCAAAGTACGTTGTTTGCCCTGAGACGGATGGTGCCCCCCAGAGCAGACACACGCGACAGGCTGAGGGCACGCGGTGGGTGGGCCCACATGGTCTCGGGTTTCCATGAGTTATGTGAAGCTGCACAACTTTTATAAAAATACATTATTTATTTATATGAGAGAGAGAGAGAGTGTGTGGACCCATGCAGGGTGGGGAGGGGTGGAGGGAGAGAGGGAATCCTGAAGCAGGCACCCCTCTAGCACATAGCCTGAAATGGGCCTCGGCCCCAGGACTCTGAGATCACAACCTGAGCCGAGATCAAGAGTCAGACGCTCAGCCAACTGTACCACTCAAGCGCCCCTGCCTTTGTTTTTGTTTTTGTTTTTTTTTAAATTTATTTATTTTATTATTTGAGAGCAGGTGTTCACGCAGGTAGGGAGGGGCGGAGGGAGAGAGAAGCTTAGCAAACTCAGTACTGAGCATGGAGCCCGACCCAGGGCTTGATCCCAAGACCCTAAGATGGGGGCCTGAGCTGAAACTGAGGCCGCCCAGGCTGAAGGAGAGTCATGAGGGGCAGAGGGTGCGCCGCGAGACAGGTGAGGCCCCAGCTGCACTGGGGTCGTGTCGGAGCAGTCGGGAAGGCACTCTGAGCTGAGAGCAGGGATGGGAGAGCATGATGGGATCAGAGGGGAACACTGACCCCGGGGGGTACAGCAGTGGGACAGAGAAGGGGGCAGGCGAGGATTGCCTGCGCCGTGCTGCCCGGGCCCTGGCTCAGGAGCTGGTGAGTGGTGACACATCCTATCCCATGTGTGGGGACACCACAAGGCACAGCAGCCATGTCCTGGCCATTAGCAAGCATGACACTGAGAAGGGACCCCGTCGTGTGGGGTTCCATTCCCCGCGAGCCCTCTGTCCCGCCTGATGGAGGAAGGGCAGCTTGCCAGCAAGCAACTCCATGGGGCAGCACAGGGTCTGCATCCCCGGTGCTGACTCAGGAGGGCAGGGCCGTGACTGGTTCCACCTTTCACCGTGGGCTAAGCCCCAGGGGCAAGAGGGCAGGGAGAGGCCGGGAGAGACATTGGGACTACGGGCAGGGTGTGCCTGCTTCCAACGAGCATGCTAGCAGAGCGGCATGCAGTCGTGGTCACGGTCATGGCGGGCACTGATGGCAGCCCCAGACCCAAGCACAGCCTGTTTCTCAGCTTGCTGGCCCCATCCCCAGCTCCCCACCCCACCCAACTGCAGCCTCTCTGCAAATGCTTGTCTGGGGGGTTATGTTCCCTTCAGGAGCTACTGTTTCCATTCTCTCTCTCTATATATATACACACATTTATATATATATATATACATATACATATATATATTTTTATTTATTTGACAGAGAAAGAGATCGCAAGTAGGTAGAGAAGCAGACAGAGAGGAGGAAGCAGGCCCCTGCTAAGCAGAGAGCCCGAGGCGGGGCTTGATCCCAGGAACCTGAGATCATGACCTGAGCAGAAGGCAGAGGCGTTAACCCACTGAGCCACCCAGGCGCCCCAAGAGCTACATTTTCTTACACAGCATTTGACAGAACAACTCCCAGACATACACCCGTGGAAAAATAGTACTTGCTGACAGTGGGTTGTCAAGAGGTTCCAACTGCTGTTGGAACTGCCAGGTAAGGGCTCTGAAATCCAGGGAGGCATCTGGGCGCAGTCTCAGCCCCAGAGGAGCGAGAAGGATGGGCCAGAAAGAGGTGCCGGGACCAGGGCATCCTTGCTGGGCCTGCAGCTGGTGGACGGACTCTGCCGGGGGTGCCCGCCATGACGTGGAGTGGCGGGAGGAAAGCGCGGAACATCGGAGGCTGGAGGAGGGACAAGAGGTGGAGGAAGGTTTAAAGGAGTAAAAGCCAAGAACTTTCTAAAAATGAATGAAAGGCACAGGTCACAGATCCAGGAGACTACCCCACACCCCCCTGCGCACGTGTAAGGGTGAGAACCAACAGGATGAGAAAGTCTTGCCTCGGCGCCAGAGCGGAGGGAAGACCCCTCTGCCGGCCTGCACGAGGCCTTCCCTGAGAAGGCGCGCCAGCCTCCCCTCGGTGGCCCGCCCGCAGAGCTGACGGGGCCTTTCGGCAAGAGGGGCCCGATGCCCACGGAAGTTGCGTCCACTCAGCGAGAGGAGGAGGATGGCAGTCTGTGCGGAGGAGGGAGCCTCTGGCCACCTGCAGGGATAGGAGAGCAAGCGAGCATGTACTTTTGAAGTTGCAAGTGAAGCTATTGATTTGTCATGGGCCCGTGTCCGTCGCGGACTTCTTAGCCGGCTGGACGCAGCCGTCCTGGAGCGGGCCCCCCCTCGGTGGCCAGCCCCGCCCACACGTGGTCTTCCTGCTGGGGTTGTGCTTCCGTCTGAAGCAAGAGGCAGGCGGTGCAGGGATCTCAGGATCCGCTCTCCATCCCGCTCGCCAGTGCGGTGGCACGGTCTAGGCGGCGCTCCGTGCGGCCGCGACAAGGGAAGGAGCGGTCGTGAGGCCGGGCCGGACGTCCGTGCCGCGTGAGAGCGCCGCCCCGTGCTTCCGTTCGTGCGACCGCAGGGTCCTTCCCCAGCAGACCTGCCGTCTCCCTGTCTTGCTAAAATCTGGCGCTTTATGTGATCCTGTAACCGTGTTGTGACCGAGCAGCCGTCAGACCCTCACCCCATTTCAGGGTGGCCGAGGCCCCGCACCCAGAGCCGCGCATTCGGGGCGGTTACGGTGAATGAGCATCAGATCAGCTTCTGTGAAGCCGCCGGAAGCGCCGGTCTGTGGCTGTGAAGGGACCGGCGTGGCAGCGGACGCAGCCAGAAGACCTACCCCAGGGGACATCAGCGGGGCAGGGGTTCGCAGGGCTGCCCGAGCCGAGGCGGCGGGCTGTGGGGGACCCGTGGCCGCCCGTGGGACATGCGAGGCCGAGTGCAGGGCCCAGCCCCTCGGGGCCCCGCAGTCGGTGGCACACGGACCTCGTGCGTGGCTGTGAGACCAGGCGGCATCCCGGGCGGGAGTGTTGCTGTCGCACGAGCCAGCGAACAGCCACTGTTTTGCTCGGCGTTCAGGCAGTCTGCGGCCATCTGTGCATTGTGGGCGTCGTCCTGGTGTTCACGAGCCCCAGCTGTGTCGCGAGGAGCCCGAGCCGCCCGGGGTGGGGGTCAGCCTCCCGCGGACCGCCCACCCACCCGCATCAGAGCGCTGCTGACCGCCGACGGCTCTGGACGCCTTCCCCTTCACTCATTGCAGAGGCCACGCCAGCGACTGAGGTGTGCCACCTGCCCAGCCCGGAACCAGCACACGAGGAAGAGGGAGGCCCTGGGGCAGTTTCCGCTCCGGGGCTGCCTGGGCCATCCCGTTTCCTGCCAGGAGCAGGTCGTCTGGGCCCGCGTGCACCTGCTCCTGCGTGTTCGTCTGTGGGCGGCGTCTTTGTTTCACACCGTGGGCTCCGATGAAGAGGCCTGCTGAGGGCCAGGCTGCCCAGGAGCACGTTCCCAGCAGACAAGCCCCGCCAGCGGGCCGCTGGAGCAGCTACCCCAGCACCGGTGTCAGCGGCCA